TCCTAACTCCCTCTCATTTGTCTGTTGGGTCTTGTGGATCTCTAAGTACCCTCCCTTCTCCTTTCTCTGTTGGGTTGTGTATCTCCTTGTCCTTTTATTCTGTGGTCTGAGATGTTCCTTTCACTTTATCTTCCAGGTCGTTCATTTGAGTCTCACTAGTGACCAAGCCTGCAGTTCATTTTCTCAATTTTAAAAACCTGGAAGTCATTTTCAGGCTATTTGGTTGTTCTACACTTGAATGTCCTTAGGAGTGTTTACGTTGTCTGTTCTCTCCAGTGGTTCTGTTTCACCTGTAGTTTGTTTTGATTGTTCTTTAATGCAGGTGTTTACAGCGATCAGTTTCTCTCTGAGCACTGCTTTCGCTGAGTGTGTCCCAGAAGTTTTGATGGGTCGTGTTTCTTTCTCATTCAACTAAATATTTTCTGATTTCTTCCTTGACCCATTGGTTTGTTCTGTTTGTTTTTATTCTCTGGCTGCAGAACACACACACCCCGCCCCCACCCATGTGTTGTTATTTTTCTGCTCAGTGGAGCTGTGTTCCACGCTGTCCTGAGTGGCTGTGATTCTTGGGAGTAAAGGAAGACACAGTGGTCTCAGCTCCCGATGGCCAGGGGTATGACTGAAACCAACCAAACCCATTGCCATCGAGTCGATTCCAGCTCTTAGCGACCCTATAGGACAGAGTAGAACTGCCCTATAGGGTTTCCAAGGAGCGGCTGGTGAATTCGAACTGCCAACCCTTTGGTTAGCAGCCTGAGCTCTTAACCACCGCACCACCTCCTTTTTATTTCACAGCCTCGTCCCACTGTCTCAGTCTCAGAGGCGGAGATGCCTGATTTCTTTAGCCAAAGATAGAAAGTCATATAGGAATCAAGGTGGCTACATGGACAGGAACAAGTGTGGCATTTTCCAGGACAGTATCCACTGGTTCCAGAGTGCCTGGGTGGGTGGGGCTGTGGGTGGGGGCCGTGCCCACCAGGTGCAGAGGTACCAGCTGTGCAAGGAGGGCTTTTGCAGGACCTGAGAAGCTCATCCCGGGTACTCTGGGGCTTACATAACCTTCAGGAAGAACTTGGCTGTCCACATTCTTAATGTGAATGGTTCACAGGCTCTGGGCCCTTCTGGCTCAAGGGCATGAGCAAGGCCACAGACTCCTTGGAGTGGGGGTGGGAGAGTTGGGGTGGGGGCGCCTAAACAGTACACCTACCTCTAGTTCCCAACATCCCAGAGGTCCATTTCCCAAGGGGACAGCATCTGGAAAGAAGGGTGCTATTTGGTAGATACGGCAGAAGGCTCTGCCTTAAGGGCCTTAGAGAGCACAAACTATTTGCACCCGGCTGTTAACCGAAAAGGTTGGTAATTCAAATCCACTCGATGGTGCCACAGGAAACGCCTGGCGTTCTACTGCCGTAAAGATTACAGCCAAGAAAACCCTATGGAGCACAGTTCTACTCTGACACACATAGGGTTGCCATGAGTCAGAGCTGACTCGACAGCTGCTGGAACTGGTTTCAAAGGTCTGCACTGGGGTGGCTGGGTTCCCATTTCCTTCTCTCCTTAGGCCGTTGATTTCTCAGCTTATCCAAGACTCTTTCTCAGATCGTATTATAGTCCAATAAATACAATGAAAGAAAGAAAGTGCGGAGAGGGAGAGGGGCTTTTCAGCGCTGTCTTGAGAAAGAAGAGAAACGAGTTCCTCCAGCATCTGCGATGCCTGTGAAATGTAGCTCAAGTGCTGATGTCAGCTGCAGCCGCAGGGCCTTTCATACCAGGAAGAAAGGCAGGGCAGCTATTTAGGTCGGCTGCCAAGTCATCTAACCACCTGCCAGGGCTGCAGACGACGTGCTCTCATTTGGAAAGGCTAAAAGTCACAGCTTTGTCCTCCTAACACAAAGCCTCCCTTTCTGTTCTTCCCGGGGCTGTGGGAGAGAACAAATCTCACGCACGTCCCAGACACCAGCACTTCTTTTTGTGAGGTATGGGAATTTAATGGCGGAGCAACACGGTCAATCCAAACGGAAATTACAAGCATTTTGAGTGCAATTGCGTCTATTGCTGGTAACCCAAAAAAAAGGGAAGAGAAAAAAATACCAAAAAGTATCTGTGAAAACCCTGAAAGGCAAAATGCACAAGGCACCTCTGATGTGCTGTCAAACTCCTCCTGTGGCTAATGGGCTGTACTTGCCCTTCAGTCTGTTCTTCCCGGGACGCTTGGCTCACGTGGACAGCGCTTCCCCCGCGGTGCTCTCTGGGACCCCCGTCCGCGCTCCCGTGTTCTCTCCAAGCTCTCCTCTGTGCATCGGGAAAGCTGGGGTCTTTCTCCTTAGAGCACCGCTATCTCACTTTCCTAGTGCTGCCGAACACAGATACCAGGGGGTGGATTTAAAGAACAGAAGTTTATTTTGTCACAGCTCTGGTGGCGGAAAGTCCAAATCAGAGTCTTTGCTGTATGGATGCCTTCCCTCTCGGTAGCCTTGGGCACTCCTTGGTTCCTTGGCATTCCTTGGCTTGTAGATGATCCTCTCGTGGCATCTGTCTTTCCCCTGTGTGTGTGTGTGTCTGTCTCTGTGTCTGTTCTGGTGTTTTGATAACTCAGAATTGATAAGGCTTAGGATCTACCCGACACTGATATGATCTCAACTGATTGATTGATTACATCACATAAGATTATATTATGGTGGGTAAATACATTCCATTATATTAGATGTAATTACATTATATCACATGAGGTATTCCTGGTTCTAGGGTAGAATTCTCACTTTCCATGCAGGAGACCTGGGTGCCATTCCAGCCCATACACCTCATGCATAGCCACCACTCAGCTATCAGTGAAGGCTTGCATGTTGCCTTGATGCTGAAAAGGTTTTGGCAGAGCTTCCTAAGACAGACTAGGAAGAAAGGACTGGCAATCCCCTCCCAAAATCAGCCAGTGAAAACTCTATGGATCCACAACCAAACGCTGCACAGGACTGGGCAGCGTTTTTTCCTTTGTGCCTGGGGTCACTGTGTGTCGGGGACTGACTGGAGGGCAGCTAAGAACAAAACAACAACAACATTCAGTTACATTATGGAAGGTAATCTGCTCACTCAAGGCCAACTGATCTAGTCACGTGTAGCTACTCCATGACAGCAACTGGACTAGTATTTGGCCAAACAACTGGGAACTAAAGCCTAGCCAAGCTGACACATAAAATAAACTATCCCAACTCCTTTTTTTGTGGCAGTGGCCCTCGCTCATCTTTGGAGTTGTCCCATATTCCTCGGTGACCCAGCATATTGGCAGTGGACAGCTGTGGGTGAAAGGCTTGTGCTGTTGACCTAGAAGCTTCTCTCAATACACGTGACTTCCCTTGTACCATGTGGATTGCATGTTTCAGCTGAGGGTTTCTTAGTAATTGTAGGCATCCTGTAAATCAAGGCATTTTAATGGCACAATGACTAATGACTGAGTGTTTCTTAAAATTCAGCATGCACTTTGGTTATGAGTATGTTTGCTTTAGGTTGCTGATATAGGAAAGAATTAAGAAGAAGGTAAGTCCTAATAGCACCCCGTGGCCCCCTGCACACCTTGTTGTTTTAGTATTTATTTCTTCATATTTGTTTATATGTTTTCATATGTGTAATCCACATACATACACACGTATGCATGTGTATATAATTATTTTTACAAGTGGGATTATGTTATTTTTTTCCCCAGACCCTATTTGTAACTAACAGTATGTATCAAAAATTTCCAGGTATATACAGCTATTTCAAAGCAGATAAAGAGGAAGGCATATGTGGCAACTCTGATAAAATTAAACACACAGTTCCATTTTTAGCCCAGGATAGGACAGCTGAGATCCTTGGGTATGAAAGTCGCTATCACCTCATTTGACCTGAAAAGCAGGGAGGGACTTTTGCTGAGCAGTCTGTTTCATGGAAATAATTTAAAGATGGATGAAAATGAGGTTAAATCTTGGAGTGAGACGCCGCTGAGACTGGACTTTATCAGGAATCTGAGATACTCTGGGCTGTAAGTACCTTCCAGCTTGCCCAGTGGTTTCAAATTGATGTAAATGGACTTCTATAGAACAGTGGGTGAAAACACTGAAGCTCCATGAGGGCAGGAACCATATGGTCTTGCTCACTGCTATATCCCCAATATACAGCATTGCTGTTAGCTGCTGTCAAGTTGGCCCTTGACTCACAGTGACCCCATGAACAATGGAGTGAAATACTGCCCGATCCTGCACCATCCCTATGATTAGTTGCAGATGGGACCTTTGTGATCCATAGGGTTTTCATTGGCTGATTTTTGGAAGTAGACTGCCAGGCCTTTCCTCCTAGTTCATCTTAGTTTGGAAGCTCTGCTAAAACCTGTTTAACATCATAGCAACATGCAAGCCTCCACTGACAGATGGGTGGTGGCTGTGCATGAAGTGCATTGGCTGGGAATCAAACCACGAGAATTCTACCACAGAACCACCAGTAGCTCATGCCTAGAATACCAAAATAAAGAAACAAAAAACAAACCTGTTATCGTTGAGTTGATTCCCACTCACATTGACCCCATGTGTCACAAAGTAGAACTGCTCTATAGGGTTTTCTTGGCTATAATCTTTATGGAGGACGATCACGAGGCCTTTCTTCCAAGGTGCCACTGGGTGGGTTTGAACTGCCAACCTTTAGGTTAGCAGCCCATCACAGCCACCCAGGGACCCCATGCCCAGAATAAACAAAACAAAACAAAACAAAAACCATTGCCATTGAGTTGATCCCGACTCTTAGCGACCAACAGGACAGAGTAGAACTGCCCATAGGGTTTCGCAGGAGCGGCAGGTGAGTTTGAACTGCCAACCTTTTGGTTAGTAGCCGTATCACTTAACCACTGTGCCACTTAGTGCCTGATATATTAGAGGCGCTCTATAAATATTTGTCAGATGAACGGCAGTGCTGCACTTACCCTTCCTGTGGCTGGAGTATTCTCTGGGCACTAACGCTCTTGGCGTCTCTTTCAGCAGGGTTGGAGACCAGGCCATTGGCGCGGAGCATCCGAGGCAGAAGCATCAGCATGAAGGTTCCCACCCCTTCCCGAGCCAAGCAGGGAGCCTTCAAGACTATACCCCTCCGGTGGTCGTTTGGACCCAAGGAGAAACCATCTGGTGCATCCGTGGAGTTGGTGGAGTACTTGGAGTCCAGACGGAGACCTCGACCCACAAGCCGGTCCATTGTGCCCCTGCTGACAGGCGCCGCAGATGGGGAAGAGAGGTCAGCCACGCCGCGCTCAAACTCCGCCCTTTCCGCGCAAGATGAAGACAGTGGGCGAGCCAGTCGGGGCGCATTGGCCGGGGTGCCCCGCCCTTCGGCCCACCCCAACCACTGTCCGGTCCCTGGAAACTCAGATGGTCTAAGCGCCACAAGGAAACTACAGGAAAACATAAGTCCGGATATCAGGCTTCCCAAAAAGTTTGACCTGCCCCTCCCTGTGACGCCCTCAGCTGAGAGTGAGAAACCATCCCGACCCGAGGGCCAGAGGAGCGAGAACTGTAAGGCGAGCGGCCATCTGGGAAGTAGTAGCAGTGCATCCTCCCCCAAGGAGATGCCCAACGCTGCGGAGTTATCTAGAAATAGTAAGGACAATAGCCAGAATATGGTAGCCAAGGTAAGGGCCAGTGTGGAGGAAAGGAACTCGGAGACAGACAGATTCCAGCAGGGGACACTCACCCTCCTGAGGTCTGTGTTTTGGAAAAAGGAGAACAAGAGGAAGAGCCACAGGGCAGAGGTTTCCCCCCAGGCGTCCTCAGGCAGTCTGGTGCGTGGCAGGCTGAGCACAGCTTCTGATGCGCAGACTCGAGGCCCGTCCCCTTCGCTGGGGATTAGAGAGAGCCTGGCCAGGGACCCGGCCAGCTACCTGGAGAGGGACGTCTGCTCCGCGCCCAGCTCTCTCCACCTCCCTCGCAAAGCCAGCAGGCCCACGAGGGGCAGCACTTTTAGCACATCCCAAAGGAGCGTTCCAGGGGAACAGACTTCCTACAGCACCTTGCAGAGGGTGAAATACCACACTCTTTCCTTAGGCCGGAAGAAGACTTTGCCTGAATCCAGTTTTTGAAGGCGCATTCCAGTATTGTGTGAGACTGGCTGGCATTCTTGCAGTTTTGCACCTAGGTGGGCGCACCAGTAGGTAGCCTGTGTTAAGAGTGGGCTTTTGTTAAGTCAGTTGTCTTGTAAAAAAATTTTTTTTTTCGTTCTCCACGCTAGACTTCCAACACCTAATTTCCAAATACCCAATGTCCAAATATCTTCCTCTATTGTTGAGTGCTTTTATACTGCCAGGCCACTAGAGGGTGCCGTTGGGTCAGCATTATCGTTTCAGGGCAAGACCTGATCTTTTGTTTAAATAATTCCAGGACCTGAATAACCTGTCCTAAAGAGTGATTTGGATGTGGGTAAGCCTTTAAGCATAACTCTCTGGTGGAGCCTTTTAATAAAAATCTTTATTATTTTTGTTATCATATCAAATATTGTCATTGGCAACTCCTTAAAAAAATTTTTTTTTTAAAAAACATTAGTTGGGCTTAAAACCTTTTTTTTTTTTTTAATGCTTCTCTGGGATAAAGCATTAAAGAGGTAAAAAAAAAAGAATAGGAATTTTAAGACAAAGTTCTAGGAGAGAGACATGGGAGGGAAATAATTGAGATTTCGCAATATTTAATATATAACAAAGTATTTGTGTTAAAGTTTTTTCAAGGTGTTTTAAAAAGATAACTATTTTGGTACTAGGAAAAAAAGGAAGTTCTTTTTTTTTTAAATTTAGTTATAAGATCTATGTATAATTTTAATAAAATCCATAATTGAAACATACAAATGGTTGTCTGAATTATTGACGTCTGTGATAAATGAAGAAACCCTGGTGGCGCAGTGGTTAAGAGCTCAGCTGCTAACCAAAAGGTTGGCAGTTCGAATCCACCAGGCACTCCTTGGAAACCCTATAGGGCTGTTCTACTCTGTCCTATAGGGTCGCTATGAGTCAGAATCGACTAGATAGCAACAGTTTGTTTTTTTTTTGGTAGTAAATGACCTCGTTTTCTTCCTGCTTTGTAAGCTTGGCTCATTGCTACTGATACAGAAAGTAGTGACTTGAGTTCTGAAATTTGAAAGTGCTTTTAATTAAAATTACTTGCTTTTTTCCTAAAGAAATAGAGGTCTCATCAGGTCGCCCTTGTGACCCCTCTCTCTCTGGAGGACTTGTACTTGCTGGGTTTCAGAACTGCCTTGATGGACCATTAATTGACTGCCCCTGGGTGGAGCGAATGGTTAAACATTCCACTACTAACTGCAAGGATGGTGGTTCAAGCCCGCCCAGAGGCTAGGAAGAAAGGCCTGGTGATCTGCCTCTGAAAGGTCACAGCCCTGAAAACCCTATGGAGCACAGTTCTACTCAGCATACATGGGGTTGTCATGAGTTAGAATTGATTTGATGGCAACTGGCTTGGCTAGGCGCCTGTTAACTAGAGCTGAGCAACAGAAGATAGAAGTAACTAAGATAATAGAGAAAGCAGGAAGACCCTGTCCTAACCCAGAGGGCTACGTATATACTAGTAGACCTGTGCGTTAGTGCAGTGCAGTGAACTGCCTTTATATGGCCCTTCTAGCCATGGTCTTGTTACTCTTTCAAAATGTTTGGGTGTGACTATGCAAATAAGGTGCTTATGGCCCACCAAGGGGATTGGACAGTCTGCTAATGCAAATAAGGTGCATAGAACCCTTGCAGGGGTGGGACTATGCAAATAATGTGCATGGAACCCTTGTAGGGGGTTGGTCAGTTTTGCCATCCCACTAGGCTTAAAGGGAGCCAATCCCAGAGGTTGAGGGGGGCCTCACTACCATCAAGAAGAAAAGCTGGGAACAGAGTGTGTCCTTTGGACCCACGGTCTCTGCGCTGAGAACCTCCTAGACCCAGGAGACAGAGCTGTAACACTGGAGATGGTGTGAGATGGCAAGAAGAGGTGGCAAGCATGGCAGAGTCCAGTGGCAGAGAAATGGCAGAAGCAGAACCAGGAGACCGGCAGGAGATGCACAGTGGGCTGCCTGGCTCATGGAATGAGGCAGCTACAGTGGGCTTCCTGATCCATGGAGCAAGGGAGCTGAGTACCTTCGGGAAGGAGACTTGCTGGCAGAGTGGGGTGCCTTGGGCACTTGTTGGCAGAGCTAAAGAGCTTTGTGACACTTGGTTGAGGCAGGGATCAAGGGCCAAGGCCAAGAGTGAGGATTGAGAGTAACGGCCAGCAGTGGGCATGGCCTGGAGCGAGGCCTAGAGAAGGAAGTGAGAGGTTGGAAACTGTCTTGACTGACAAACTGTATCTTATCTCCTGAGTTGTTCCTGTTACTTCCAAGTTGATCCTGATCTAAACTGTAACCTGGTACTTTCCTAATAAATCCTGTAATTGTGAGTATGGTCTGTGAGTTCCATGTAGCCACTGCAATGAATTATCGAACCCAGCAGAGAAATAGAGTGCTGTTGTAGGGATGGCTGGTGTCAGAAATGGTAAAAATGTTGGAGAGTAGAGCTATAACTGACTTCCACCACATAGGAATCATCTTTGGGCTGATGTTGGTCTTGATTTTCTCTCCTCTCCCTGAAGTGAGACAAGATCTGACACATCCATTTTACAGTAAACATTTCAAAAACAGTGTTCTCTTCAAGTCTTAAACTGATGTAATTTTAGCGAATGTGGAAGATGTGGTGGTCCATGCTCTCTTGGGTTATAGGGGAAATCTAGGAGTCTTCCTGCTCTATCTGGTTCTTTCTCCTCTGCTCATGCCCAGAACAATTTGTCATATTTAGTTTCCATGCTCTTCCTAAACTCAAGCTCACTTCCTTTGTTCTCCAAGGGGGTGAGCTGTGACTCAGACATGTACCCCCAGGTCTGTCTTCTATAGGGATTCAACGTTTACAATGCTCTTGGACAGTTGGGATATCATGGGAAGATCCTGGTTGCTAGTGATGTTCTCTGTAACGCACCACAAATTGGGCCAGTGACTCCAGGCTCCACACTCTGGAGGTTCAGGAAGAGGAAATCATGCTTGGACCCTGGTGCATCTGCCATCCCAGATCTCCAACAAGGATGCTCTGTGTATCCCCCAACTGAGCTTGCTTCCCCCTCAAATAGAGGGCTCTGGTAGGGAAGCCTGTGAGCACAGAACATGAGAATTTCTGCCCAGACTGAAGAATATAAAACTGGTTCCAACTTGGCTGTGCATCTGACCGTAAGGCTATCGGCATCTAGTCAAGTGATGGTTAAGGAGGAAGCATGGCAGAACAATTTGGATGCTTTTTCCAGTCACAAAGATCCCCCTGAAAATTTGTAGATTGGGGTTAGGGAAATGTTGAGAGCCATTGTGCCAGATAGGAGCATAACCAAAGATAGAATTAGCTCAGTGTGGCAGGAAGAGCCTCCATTTCCTCCTCTGGAAGCCCAAATGCTCTGCCTGGCTCTATTCCTGTGGCCTGAGGCATGATAACTGGTCTGATGGTGAGAGGCCATCCCTGACTCCTAAAGTGTCCCCAGGTCTGGGACCTTCTTCTTTTATCTTCCACTAATGGAAGGAAGGACTTTGAAGTCCAGAACCTTCAACTGGGAGGTCAGAAGCTCCAAGGACCTTCAGGGTCAGAGGAGAAAAATAAGACTAGAGGAGTGGAGAACATAATCCATAGGAGCTGTATACATGTAGTTCCGGGAACAAATGAAGATGTTTATTCTACATTGGGCTCTCCAGGTTCTATCAGCAGGATCTCACCTGTATCACCTGTAGCACTAGCATGATGTCCTGAGGAATGGTGAGTTAATCAAGCACTCTGCTGACTTGATTGCATCCTGGAGCTGCAGATATAGCTAACCATATATTTAGCACTTAAACTGTGTGTAAGACCTCTTCTAAGCACTTTACAATATTAATTCATTTAATTCATAATAATCCTTTGAGGTAGGTACTGTTATCTCTGTATTATAGATGAGGAAACTGAGGTACAGAGGGGTTAAGTAATTTGCCCAACATCACACAGCTAGTAAGTAGCAGAGCCAAAATTTGAACCCAGGTGTCATGGATTGAATTGTGTCCCCCAAAAATATGTGTATCAATTTGGCTAGGCCATGATTTCCAGTGTTGTGTGATTGTCCACCATTTTGTCATCTGATATGATTTTCCAATGTGCTGTAAATCCTACCTCTGTGATGCTGATGAGATGGGATAGGCAGCAGTTATGTTAATGAGGGAGGACTCAATCAACAAGATTGGGGTGTGTCTTGAGCCAGTCTCTTTTAAGATATAAAAGAGAGAAGCGAGCAGAGAGATGGGGAGACCTGATACCACCAAGAAAGCAGCACCGGGAGCAGAGTGTACCCTTTGGACCTGGGGTTCCTGCACAGAGAATCTCCTAGTCCAGGGGAAGATTGATGAGAAGGACTTTCCTCCAGAGCTGACAGAAAAAGCCTTCCCCTGGAGCTGACACCCTGAGTTTGGACTTCTAGCCTACTAGACTGTGAGAGAGTAAACTTCTGTTTGTTAAAACCATCTGCTTGTGGTATTTCTGTTACAGCAGCACTAGATGACTAAGACACTAGGTAATCCTGGCTCTGGAGTCCGTGCTCTGAATCACTAGGCTCTACCACCTCTCTGAAGGTATACTGGTAACCCTACCAATTAAAACCAAATTTTCTCTGCTAATCTTTATTCATCAAAATACAGAAAAATGCACTTGCAGATCCGTAGCTTATTCCCAAGTGCCAGGAGCTGTATTTATTTATTCCAGCAAAGAGACTGCAACTGGAAAAGCCCCTGCAAGTGAACTCACCACTTGATTAAGTCTGATAAATGCAATTATTCTCCAAGACCTATTAATCTTTTGCAGTAGTAAAATCGTGGAACTGAGTGGTGATGTGCTAGGAATCAGAATACTGCATGTTTTAAGTCTCAGTGACATTAATTTCTGATTCTTCCAGGGATGTAGTTTGGCTTTCGATTTATTTTATTTGTTGGAATGGATTGCTCCAGTGACATCTGCCTGACCCTACCATAATTTACTTAATAAACATTTAAGGGTCCACTATGTACTAAGTTCAATTTCAGACTCTGGGAGTGACAGTAAAGAAGATAGACATGATTCTTGCCTTCAGGGGACTTATAGTTGGAAGAGACAAAAAACTAGTAAACGTAACTATGGTAATTGCCATCAATTACCTGGCATTGGC